TTAACAGTTGCAGTGTTGCACGCGCAAAACTGCACTCGTCACGGCTATCGCGTTGTTGTTAACAGTTGCAGTGTTGCACGCGCAAAACTGCACTCGTCACGGCTATCGCGTTGTTGTTAACAGTTGCAGTGTTGCACGCGCAAAACTGCACTCTTTACGGCTATCGCGTTGTTGTTAACAGTTGCAGTGTTGCACGCGCAAAACTGCACTCTTCATGGCTATCGCGTTGTTGTTAACAAATGCAGTGTTGCTCGGATGCTGCGTTTATCATGGCTCGCACGCGCGCAGCGTGTTTAGTCTATTGTAAAGATCGTTATGCCACCATGACTATTTGTTGAGCAGAAATTCTTCCTCTGCAGGGATCGGAAATGTTCTCAAGTAGCTGGCAGGGACCTGCATTGTTGCACGTGCACGTTATCCCCGTGAATCCCTTTTAGACTTATTACCGAATTTATTACTATAATCATTACTGATACACACTTGGCTTCTGCACCTCATTACTCTCTAATGTTTCTCGCTGATCAGCAGTGTTTAAAATGCGTCAACTCATGTAGGCACATCCTTGCGGCATAGAAGAGGTACATACGTTCTAGTACGTCGAGCCACGCACTCTGATGGACAATCCCTATCGAGTTGCCGACGAGGCAGGTGTACCAGCCAGCATCCTTCTGTGTTATGTTGTGAATAACCAGTTTGCCGGGATCTCCACTCGTGTTCGACTGGAAAACGAGAAGAAAATGTAAGTGTGCATGCTCTTATCTGGGAATGGTTTTTGCTGAAAAACACCGGTTGCTGCAGCGTGACCACTAAAAAAGTGAATTTTGAAAACAAGTGACACGAATTGCAAAATGACACGCAAACAAAACAAATGCACGATGACAATCGCACGATTGCACAAATCGCAATGACAATTAATTTGCATTTTCACAAATTTTAACAATATCTAAAAAAAGAAATACATTGTGCTTATTTTAACACACTGGTGACTGGTATCTATATATATTACTGTGCCTCTACAGTAAAGTATTGTTTTAATGCCAAAAATAACACTTCATTTACATAGAATAATAGCATAGTAATCGTATCAAGACAATAACAATGACAACAATATTAACATGAACAATAATGATGATAATGATGACAATGATGATAATAATAATAATAATAACAATAACAATAATAATAATAATAATAATAATAATAAGAATAAAAACGCTAGGCTATATAAGCTACGGCATTACCATGTTACATACGATCATCTTTCTGTAGCACCTTCATATGTAGATACAATAAAGTAACCCAAACCCAAGAGATAATAGTTACATTATTGCGTATCTAACCTTCATATGAGTGCTGCAATGTAGCAGTTAAGTTAAAAGTCACTATATCCCAAAAGCATGTTCTACGCGCAGATAATAATGACAATGCCGATTTTAACTGAACATATTGTTATTCGGCAACTTCTAATTAACTGTGAAAATGCTATTTTTTGGCAGTTAATGTCCCCACATAGTCTCGAACCATAGTTTAGCTTTATTAGTTATTGGTCACAACTTGAACAAAAACGCATGCAGACATATACTTATCAGACCTCGAGCTCATTTTTCTTGTCACACGGTCATGTTTGCGATGAATTCCTCTCGGCGACGACATCCACAACACTGAAACAACCGCGAACTTAGCACACCGTCGTAGTTGCACCACATTTGCACTAGCTGCATGTACCTCTCTGGTTTAAGGCACTTCTCCATTTTTGTGTCCCTCACTCTTGAGCGTTATCCAAACGCACTCCTTGTGTGGTGCGCAGGCATTTAACCGTAACAAAACACTCTAGCGCCATATATAAAGCATTACCAAGATAATCCCTTCCCTCCCACACGCATAGAACAACAACCCGCTATCCGCTAACAAGAATATCGTAAACTTACTGATATTACACCTGCCTCGCCGAAGCAAATGCATTGACATTCGCAACTGCGGAACGCTGAAGACCTGTGTACGCGTCGAAATATCTCCATCCCTCGTGGGTCATACGCCAACAGTTACGCCCCCCTTTGAGAACGTACATGAAATGAGAACAAATTCTAAGAATCGTAACTCAACGCCAACTTTGCCCAACGCATTAGCAATTTGCGGTATTTATTTTACCAAGGTATGTCCGAAATTGCCGATTGAATGTGCATTGCGAAAGTGCTAAAGAAAATTGTGGCAAAACACCGTGAGAGGCTACGCATTAACGCACCCCTCCCCACCCCCCTTAAGTTGGCCTTAACCCTATAAACACTCCACAGGTGATTCTTCCGAAATTTAAAACGTTATTAGATAGTTTCCACCGAAAAACTCTCCTGCCCCACCACGTCAGCAAGCAGCTGAGCTCGCCACACTTCTGAATTCGCCATCCACCCAAGATATTGCGCTTCTTTTCAGAAAATACGATCCTTAAGAGAACATTTCACCACCACCCTGCCCGCCACAAAGTGATTAACAGCCACCTGAAACAGCATCATAATTGACATTTAATTACGTCAATGGAAGATTGCCATTTATGAGGCTTCCATAATTTTCGAATGGGTGGGCGGAACCACCCTAAGTATCAAAGTGAGTGAGACCGACCTGTCCCGAACCATCATTATAGAACTCATTCGCACGCATTGCGAGCTAGCAGAGCCCCATCATGCATGCCGGGCATTATGAAACGTGGAAGAAAGCCTGTTCGAAGCGTGCTCGGAATCGAACCATTCTCTCTTCAGTCATAGTTCACCTATCATTTGCTCGATGGCTGGAACAGCAGCAAGAAACAGCACCTTAACGGTTTCTATCATTGAGGCTGAAGAATAGTGTAATATGGAACATTCTACCGGTTAAAGACCGCGCCCCCGGACGAAGAAGCCCAAGAGGAGCAGATCACGTATCATTTCGCGAAGGTGAAGAGAAGACATCAGAGAAGGCATCTTTTCAACTCCCGTGGAGCCGTTATCAGATGCAATATTGATAGGTACTATTATAACACACAGACGAAACACTTACCGACTGTGACAAATTTTAATGCCGAAAATGTTCTATCCTGTGTTAACCTCGTTTTGATTCTTACACGGTAACATTCTTTTACCAAACAACAACCGCAGATCCCCAACTCGGCGCCAATAGCAAAGCGTCGAACGAATGAATAAGCTAATGGCACCCCGCGTGGCGAGACGCCTAAGGTAATCGAGACGCTAGTGAGGGTATGGTGAGCTAGCGAGGCGGAATATGAAAAGGCATGAAGCAGTGCTGAGGAAAACGTAAGCCAAGAGCCGGGAACACAAGGTGTCAACAACTGAGAGAAGTGAGGCTAGGGAAGCGCGGGAACAAAGGTGACAGACGAGCAAGGTGAGCCTACGGGCACGGGCAATAAAGCGTAAGACTGGGAACGGTGAGCTAGGGACGCGCGCGAATAAATGTGTAGACGAGGAAGGCTGAGCCTAGGGAGCAGGAATAAAGGTGAAAGACGGAGTAATGCTGAGCCCTAAGCGAGTAGGAATAAAGGTGAAGGCACTAGAGAAGTGAGCCTAGGCGAAGCGGGAATAAAGTGAAGACTGAAGGAAGGTGACTAGGAGCGGCCGAATAAAAGTGAACGACAGAGGAAAAGAGTGAGCTAGGAGAGCGGGATTAAAAGTGAAGAAACTCAGAGGATGTGACCTAAGGGAGGACGGGAATAAAATGTGAAATACTCGAGTCAAGGTGAAGATAGGGAGCTGGGAAAGTGAAGCGACTGAGAAGGAGAAAGCAGGCAATAAAGGTGAAGACTCGAGAAGGTGAGCCTAGGCGAGACAGGAATAAAAGGTGAACTGACTGAGGAAGTGAGCTAGGGAGCGGGAATAAAAGGTGAAGTAACTGAGGAGGCTGACTAGGGACAGGAATAAGAAAGGTGAAAGACTGAGGAAGGTGAGCTCAGGACGGGAATACAAGGTAGACCGTGAGTAAGGTGAGCTAGAGAGCCGGAATAAAAGGATGAAGAACCTGAGGACAGTGATCTAAGGGAGCGGCGAATAAAGGAAACTGCCAGGAACGGTGAGCTAAGGGAGGCAGGAAAAAAGGCTGAATAACTGGTAAGCGTCGAGCATAAGGCGAGCGGGAATAAAGGTAAGAATGAGGGAACGGGAGCTAAGGATGCGTAATAAAGGTGAAGATCTGATTAAGGTGAGCTAGGGAGCGGGGAATAAAGGTGATAGACTGAGAAAGGTCGAGCGAGGGAGCAGGAATAAAAGTTGAAGACTGAAGTAAGGTCGAGCTAGGAGCGGGAAATAAAGGTGAAGCACTGAGGAAGGTGAGACTAGGAGACGGTGAATAAACAGTGAAACTGCAGGAACGCGATGAGGACTAGGAGAGTGGAAAAAAGAGTGAAGACCTGAGAAAGGATGACGCTAGAGAGCGGCGAATAAAGGGAAGAACATGAGGTAGGTAGAGGCTAGGGAGCGAGAATAAAAAAGTGCAAGACATGAGAGGAAGGCCTGAGCTAGGAGCGAATCAAGAGTGAAGAACATAGAAGAAGTACTAGGGAGCCGAAGAAAAGGTGAAGACCTGAGAAAGGTGAGACTAGGAGGGAATAAAGGTAAAACTGAAGGACAACCGGTGAAGCTAAAGGGAGCAGGAAATAAAAGGTAGACCAGACTGCGGAGGTGACTAAGGAGGTCGACGGAGAATAAGAAAGTGAAGAAAACTTGAGGAAGGTTAAGCTAGGAGCAGGATAAAGGTAGAAGAACACTGAAGAAAGGATTAGCTAGGAGCGGGAATAAAGGTGAAGACTGAGGAAGGTGAGCTAGGGAGCGGGAATAAAGGTGAAGACTGAGGAAGGTGAGCTAGGGAGCGGGAATAAAGGTGAAGACTGAGGAAGGTGAGCTAGGGAGCAGGAATAAAGGTGAAGACTGAGTAAGGTGAGTTAGGGAGCGGGAATAAAGGAGAAGACTGAGTAAGGTGAGCTAGGGAGCAGGAATAAAGGTGAAGACTGAGGAAGGTGAGCTAGGGAGCAGGAATAAAGGTGAAGACGGAGTAAGGTGAGCTAGCGGGAATAAAGGTGAAGAGCGAGTAAGGTGAGCCAGGCGGCGGCGTATCTTCTCACCTTGAGATTGATGATGTAAGGCTTGCCGTTCTCATTGTATTCGCTTCCATTGACGCTATAGTGCTTCAGCCACTGAAGGTGAGGCTGAAGGTCGCTCAGCATCTCACATTTGAAGGTCACCGTGTCACCAACGTAGACCGTCTGATTGGCCGGCAATGCCGGATTCAGAATCGGCGGGTGTGGCAGCCGCTCTGAAACATCAGAGCATCATCGATTTTAAACCTGCTGGTCGCCAATGTAAAACTGTGGACCGTACTGTGGAACGCCAGCTATGGTGAACATGTGCACACATCGCCGCGGTTTTACTTTGCGACTTCGAAAAAATTCAGCTGTCAAACATTCCATTCTTATCATATTGACTTTGCACGGGGCTTTTTCTTTCACTTTTTTTCCCAAAAGACTACAGCCTCAAAGAATGTGTAGTGACGAGAAAGGTGATTAATTTGCGGTGGAATTTAGTAAATGCATGAGATTGCGTGATTACGGACGAGGATAACAGCTTTAACATAGCTTAACGTGCTGTTGATGCAGGTTATCCCGGCACTACACTCTAATGTCCTGAGAATGTGGCCATGAGATCCTGATGAGTGTATCAGTTAATCAGATTCCCCTTAAATTACAACTCCATGAGAGAGAGCGGGGAAGGAGGGAGGGAGGGAGGGAGAGAGACACACGGATGAGTGAGGTGAAAGATCTAGTTGGGGAAGTCTAGTTATGTTCACCGATGTTCCCCAGAGGACCGAGGAACCCTCGAACATCGTAATCAGCCCAAACGGCCCATCATCGACACAATCAAGGCTAATTAAGCCAAACACAAAACATCGTCAAAATTACAGAATACGACACACAAAGATGTACAACATAATCTCATTAATAGAGATTATGACAACAAGAGATTATTACTTATAACAAGTAAACAATCGTTCTGTGACCAAGTGCCTAGAGTAAAAGTATTCGTGGGGGGTGCTGCAACGCTTGATTAGCTTAATTAGCCTCATTTTTAGTTGTGGTGTAATTGAACCGATAATTCAAGTACTTTCAGGTTCATAATGGAACGTACGTAACCTAACATAACATGCCATAATAGAATCGAAGCTACAAAAATATAACGCAAGTAATTAAATCTGCTCATCAAAATTAATAAAAATCTCCCCTGTAAATTTAAACTATTTAAAGCAGATTACTCAATTTTCAGTTATGAAATTTGTTAAGTCTGATATAATCACATTAGCAAGAAAAGACACTCGCAATTTAGTCTGCTAGCTGCTCCATATAAATTTAATTATCACAGAAGGATCTCGTTACAACTACTTGCAATTTAAACCATTATTTCCCTCACTACTTAATTCCCTCTTCGTGCTCTCCATCTATACATATTAGGACCATATCCTTCAGCAGGCAGGACACTAGCGAAACAATATAACTAATAAAAGTAAATAACCTTCAAATATAAGCAATAAACAATAGGACAAAATTATCCACTTCGCATAGTGTTATCTTGTGCGTGATTTATTTCTTGAAATTACTCAGTTATAGGTCTGGAAAGTTTCTTCCCATTCCAAGATTGATCAATGCTACTGCCCTGTATATAAGCCTAACACAATAATTACCCTAACGCACACTCAGGTCGTAAAAACTTATATTCCATCTGTTAATTAATACCACTAAATTCGGGGTTCATAATCATTTAAACATTCATGCCTATTTCAACGCAAAATTTTTAATATGAAATGAAATAATTGACCAAAATTACATTTGATCTTGTGTGGATTGTATATATATAGTTGAATATTATTTGCTAACGCTAAACCTGAGTATAACGCGTGCCTCATGCAACACTCATCGTCGTTTCTGGCGAAGTCTGTTGTGTATTTGTGCTTGCGGGGCTATATTTCTTGTTTTGACCTCATATAATTTCCGAAGGAATGCAATTCCAAATAATTAATGCAGGTCAATGCGAAAATGAGGTCATGCAACACTATGGAGTTTCTACATCCCTGGTCGGATCGCTATAACATAATATCCATGCATTGCGACCGAGGGAACCACTGCTGCTCCTGACAGACAGCTTTAGCGAATTAGCAATGTATTAGGATATTCTGAAAACAATGCTTGGCAACGAAGTGCCACAAAGTCGATGAATAAATTATGGCAAGTCTTTCGATCCTGCTGCGTAAATAGGTGACTTCGACATACCGATGACTTCGAGCGAGTAGGTCCACTGTATGCTGCCATACACATTGGCCACAACACAGGTGTAATCGCCTTCGTACGCCTTCGTGACCGAGGCGAAGCTGAGAGCCCATCGCTTCTGAACCACCTGTAACAAACCACATGGACACTGCAAAACGCGTTCACCGCTCACTGGGCAGTTCTTACCCGTCGCCGCATTTCTTTCCACTTTCTGCGCACCACTCGATCCACCTTCTCCTCCCACCCTTCTGTGTCACACAGCACCTCTTCCTACCACCCTCTACGTCCCAATCAATGTCCTCCTCCTCCTCCTCCTCCTCCTCCTCCTCCTACTCCACCCACCCACCACTCCTATTCGCAACGACGATCGTTTAACACGTAAGCCCTTACTTAACACAGAGATGGCATTGAACAAGTCTTGAATCTTGGCATTGACCTTATATAATAAACTTTTAAGTGGCTTATAAACCCATCCTGACTATGGACTTACGACTTCCGCTGAGGAAAACTGCGCTGCACTGACCTATCACATGCACACACCACCACCACCACCACCTAACATGCACTCTTCGTACTGAAATTTACCAGGAATATCCTTACCTCAACCTATTTAAATTCGAGGTTTAGTTCACGTGATACTCGAGCCTTGTAATATTGTTACGAACACAGTCAAACCTCGAGGGTCACTCAAGTGAATCATTAACAGTATACTCTATAGACGTGTGACCGTTCTATAGAGATGGTGTTTCACTGCATAACTTCCACGCAAGGAAAAACCCCAAAACTGGCCCTTATAGACAGGTGTCCGTACAATGGTGCGTGCGTGCACTCAAACACTGGTTTGAGCGTACACCACGGTGTTTTCAGTGCTCGTTGCCTCGTAGCCGGGCCACCATCGAAACAGCGTGTGATGCCGGCGGCGGCGACTCGTACCTTGAAGGTCATTCGCCAGGTCTCCACCAGGGGTTCGCCGTTGCGCAGCCACGTGATGTTGGGCATGGGGTTGCCGGCGGCGGGGCAGCGCAGCGACACGGGCGAGCTCGCTGTCTTCACCACCATCTGAATGCGCATCACCGATGGTTTCACCCAGAACGGCTTCGCTGAAATCACCGAGAGATTAATTAGATAATTAGCTAATTAAAGTCTCACAATGTGCGTAGTCTGCAAAGATCAAAATCTGGTGATGCTGGCAAGGGTCCAACGCCGTTGTTTTCCATTAACGGCGCGAATAGTGCTTGAGGCACGCGCAAATTAATCGCGCGAGCGCTTGTTTTTTCATCATAGAAGACATGTGTCTTTGAATGTCACGCTCGCACTTCATTCATGCCAGCCGGTCGGCGTTACAAATTTGATGCGCCGCACACTCCGGAATGCGGTACACACGCTAGATCTAAAACATTTGTAAGATCTTTTCGCGACCTGGAAAAACTGCAATCCATGCCACGGAACATTTTTTTTACTCAAGTGCCCCTACCGTTCCTGCTGCTACTACTAGTACTACTGCTGCTGCTGCTGCTGCCACTGCTGCTGCAGCTGTTGCAGCTGCAGCACAAGCTAAAAAAATATTGTGCTTGCACACACTCGAGGGCAGCACTGTCGCATTGCACGCAGTTAGCAGACAGAATGCGTGCGCTGCTGCTCACTTTCCGGCAAAGCATCATCCGATAATTACTGCTAATCGCATTCTATTGCTAATCAGATGCCATCACGCAGCTGAGCCTTGCAGTCAATCAACGCGCGCTCCACCGAGCAACCGGCATCCGTGCAAAGACAACCTACAATTGTTCACAGCACTCTCATCCTGCAGAGGCGCTCGTACTAAAATAGCACCTATCACCCACGTACCCTCGCCCATATCACCAAGAGTCCATAAAAATTACATCTATCCTTCTATCTATCTATCATCCACATATGCATATCACCATGCCAATACTAGATTTTCACCGCTCATTATCTCAGCGTATGTGCATCGTAGGGACATGCGGTTTGTTTTATATGAACAAGGTAGGACAGCTGATCAATAATACTCGTCAAAATAAATCAAAGAATCGTCAAAATAACACGGGGAAAGTTAATTAATTCGACTAATACTGCAACGTGGTTTCAGCATTTTACCGTTGTACGCTCTCCTTCTTTATATGCTCTTGATATCACTTACGTGCTCTCACGTAAATTACTCACATACCCTCACAAATATCATCTATTAGTATTACTCTCACAAATATTATCCGCGTACCCTCACGCATATCAACCACGCACCCTCACAAATATCACCCGCATACTTATTATCTTTTAAAATATATTCATGAAGTGAAGAAGCAGCAGCCAGCGTACGTGCTTGTCTGCGGCGGCCGCGCGGCGAACCGGTCACCGGACGCATGCGTGCTCGCGTTCCTGGCGGTAACCGGGCCTGCGGACGTTGCTAATTGGCGAGCTGGGAGATAAGGACAGGCAGCAGAGAGGCTGATGCGTCCGCCTGCACGTAATTACGCCCGTAATGGCCCCACCGACCGTCACACGCAGACGGAAACAACCGATCACGCGCGCAGCAATTTTTCCTGGCAGGAGTCGGAGAAGGGAGACATAGCGTCTGTCAAAGAAAGGGTGTATAAAGGAAGGGGGAACATCCGGAAGCACGGGGGCAGGCGTATGAAGTCTGACAGAGGAGAGAGCCTGTCGGACTTCACCACGAGGGAAGGGAGGGGAGGGGGGATTAGATCCAATAGCTGATTCACTCCATCTGCTACGACCAGACCTTAATCTCAACGTGCTATGTGAGTAATTGGATCGAAGCCTGGGGGGAACCAAGCATCCAGTCTGTCAGGAGAAGGGAAGATTTACTCCACTTGCTATGACCAACGGTTCACTTTCTTACCGTACTTCTGGGCTGGCCATAGCGAATGGAGCAAATCAACTTTCAGACTAACCAGGGTTCGGCCAGGTTTGAAGTGAATCCAGCATACACGCGTGGATGTGCGCGCACACTGAGATAGACCGAGGCGACACAAGCGCCTGATGGTAAAGCCACAGCTAGTGCGCCTCACGGCTGGCTTGCCGCGATTTCCGGCGTGTAGATTATGCCAACGAGACATAATATACGATAAATAACACGGACGCGGACTAGAATAGAGAGGGAGGGAGGGAGAACGAGTACGCAAGAGCGACAGCGAGTGCGAAAGAGAGACAGAGAGAGGAGGAAGGGAAGGAGAGATATAGTTAAAGAGAAAAAGGAAGAAATAATTCATGGAGAGCGAGAGAGAGAGGAAGAGAAAAGTGAGAGCAAGTAAGAATGTGCGAAAGCGAGAGTGTACGTGAGAGCGTACGTGAGCGTGTGCGCGCATGCGCGCGTGAATGAGACAGAGGGACAGCGGTAGAGACCTCTACCAACAGGAGACGCGTTCCAGTTCGGTATTGCATGGCATTCCAATAAATCGGTCAATGGCGTATAGGAAAATCTGGTCGACAGATTAATCACGTATCAGGTTATCCGCGATGCGTGAAAAAATCGCATACGTGCAAGTTTTTTTCTCTCTCCTCCACCGGGAAAGATTATTGCACGACTACTTTCCTTGTCAGCGAACGAGAGAGATATGTACTATATAATGTTTCGTTCGATTACGAGCCGCGGAGATGGCAGCTGCGCAAAAACGTCTGTACATGCATGCATCGGTGTAGTAAACGGTACATGACAGAAGTACGCATGTGTCTCCGCGAACCAGCAGCCAGCAGCCCACAGATGGCGGGGTCTTCGTCAACCTCCATCTCCGTACATCTTGCGCTGATTAGCGCAATGAGATGCACATAATTGCTAGCAGATTCGCGCGCAGTCAGCAACTATTCCTCGTGCCCGGATCAACACAGGAAACGGCTTATTTTCGAAAACACTGACCCGCGGATCTATTTCAATCCTGTGCCAAAAAATATAGGTGGGGGTGCGTGCCGCATTAAACAACACTTACCGCAGCTTTGCGCACACAAGCCTGCTAATAACGCAAACTGGATAAAATCAACTGAAATGTAAAATCACAACATCCCGCGTCACTGCTCCTGCTGCCCCCTAGTCGCAGAGCGCACAAATGGCAAAGCAAATGGTTGAATAGCACTTTTGTAGCGAACCCCTGCTATGTCGAGGCATTGATACTGAGAGAACGCGCAGCTGCTGCGAACTAACACAAATAATATTTCATTGAATCTGACTCTACGAAGGGATTTGACTTTTTGATGAGTATCATTTACTTATTACATTATATTATATCATTTAATTATTCAAAGTCTCACGTGTGTCAGAAATGTGTTTTTAACATCGACTTTTAACGACTTTAGTATATATACGTTGGAAGAGTATGAGATCGAGTTTTGCAGAACAGGAATAGCATTGTGTTGCCATTATTATTTACATTATAATTATTATATTTGAGTTTTCACAGTGAGTGCTAACCACGTCCTACTCGTGTTATTGTGTTCCACACACACACACACACACACACACACACACACACACACACACACACGCGCGCGCGCACGCACGCACGCACGCCCATCTCAAACAGCATGCGAGTGTAAAAGCCAACTTTACTGGAAATTTTATAAACACCGACAGGACTTTGCTTGCAGATTGCTGCCGTCAGTACGTACACACAGGCAGGCAGAACTGTTTGTAACACTGTTGGAGATTTAATTAGCCGTTAACGCGAGAAAAAAATTGGCGGAGGCGAAACTAATAGTATCCGTCAATGAAACCCTACGAGAGAGGATCGCGTGCGTGAGCGCGTCACCTGCTGCTACTGCTGTAGCCCGACCAGGCTGTGCGACGGAGTGTCTATACAGGTATTCTAGAATACTAGGTATTCTAACCCTAGCAATACCGTTTCTTGGAACTACTACTGCTGCTGCTGCTGTTGCCGCTACTGCTGCTGTTGCCGCTACTGCTGCTGCTGCTGCTGCGGCGGCGGCGCCGGCGGCTGCTGCTACTGCTGCTGCTGCTGCTGAGGCTGCGGCTACTGCTGCTGCTACTGCTGCTGCTGCTGCTGAGGCTGCGGCTACTGCTGCTGCTACTGCTGCTGCTGCTGCTGAGGCTGCGACTACTGCTGCTGCTACTGCTACTGCTACTGCTGCTCCTGCTGCTGCTGCTGCTGCTGTTGCTGCTGCTGCTCCTGTTGCTGCTGCTGCTGCTGTTGCTGCTGCTGCTCCTGTTGCTGCTGCTGCTGCTGTTGCTACATCCTACGCAGGCTTCAGCGCGCCTTATTAGATGTTTACACACGTTCACCGGCGGCGCGCAGCAGCAGCAGCAGCAGTAGCAATACTTCTCGCGAAAGTGCTTCCTGAGCGCCTGCCCGCCTGCCTGCCCTCCATTCCGAGGAAAAACCCACAAAATATACGCGAGTGGAATAAATCTCAAAGGCTGCCTGCTTCACAGGTTCGGCCAACAATTCCACTCATCTTCACTCGTACGCCATCGATGTTAGCCCGCCGCTGTGCATGATGCCCACTGCACACAAACGAACGCTCCCGCCATTGTTATTTACTCTAGTTGTGGGAAAACATGCGCTGGACAAATCACAGGGCAGCGTTGGGTAGGGCCTGGCTAAACACAAATATGGGACTACGAGACAAATGACCACGTCATTGAATATATATGTATATCGTTTGGGAGCGGGCAGCGTGGGGGGGGGGCTCGGAACAAATATAACGATATAGCGGCTAGGCAGGGAAAACTATTTTATTTGAAAACTAAATGAAAAACCGAAACCTAATTTTTCTTAACGTGTACGTGCGGCATAGCGCGGGCGTTTGCGAACTTTACTCTATAGTAGGACCAAAAAAATGCACGAATCTAACAGTACATTAACTCATCAACGATTTCCAAAAACCACCGTTTCCCTTCGCATTCCCCGTCCCTCTCAAGTAGCATAATACAATTAATAGCAGTAGTTAGACATTTACTCTAGTACGACTACATAAGTCCCTGTCGCCCACAAAGTCGGGTCGATACCACGGACAAAATAAACGGCAAGCACGAGAACGAGGTCGATGACAATAAAGGTTTAACGTCAGTAAGGTCTTCACGGAGAATCAGTCTCTCGACACCGCTGCTCGACAGTTATTGACCAGGTGCTGTCTGTCATACATGCATGCAGCGGGACGCAGACGCCCTAATAACACCTATAGCCACATATAATAATCAATACGCATCTTTTAACAAATCTGGCGCGGCTAATTACTAATTATACATAGCCCTACAAGTCGCAAAGGATTGCCAGCTGGAAATGAAGTAGCACAAAAGGCTCTTGGTTGGTTGTAACGTGCGTTTCTTACGAATTTGATAAAAAGGGAAACAGGAAATTTGGCATGAACATCACTCTAAGCGATCCGTGCGTCGTGTCGGCTGCTCAAAGCGACGGCTAAAGGTTAGAGCAGGCTGAAAATGTTTCACGGAAATTGTTCAATGGGATTATTCATGGCGTTCGTGGAAGAAAACCGACAAAACCATGGAATTTCTCATTTCCTGTTAGATGGATTTTTTTTAGATGAAGCTGAACACGGTCTACCTCAGTACGTGCCGCGCACTAGTTTAGAGTTAGCTAGCGTTACTAGTGTCGCGTACTAGTACTAGTAACGCGCTACTAGTACTAGTACTAGCGTACTAGTAACGCGTGAGACGATTGGTGACCCGTGAGAGCCAAATGAGTCGGAAGTAGCACAGTAGTATTCTACAGTACAATCGATTTTTAGGCTTATTAATTAGGCTTAAAAAAATTATTGTAAATTTTGTTGTTGCAAAAACACCATCTACAATGTTTACTTTCGATTTGTATAAACAAAAATGTTATAATTCAATTAAAACTTGCTTAAATT